GTTCTTAACCAGGCATATTTGTAGTGTCTAAGATCGTTCTAGCTGCCTGCCTACTTTATACAGTCTGGGTTCGTTCTGGACGCCTGATCTCAGTCGGTACTCTGCTTCAGCCTGTATTTGCTGGACTTTAGGAACAAGACACAGAAGACACAAAGCTTGAGTTACTATATTTATTATAACTTACATCATACCACATGTACATATTGTGATCATTCTCTACTGTCGTGATGATTATACAGGGAAATCAGACATTAAACTCACCTAAGTCAATAGGTCAAAACTGACCACTACATGTAACAATACAGCTAATTCTACCGCAGTTAGTGAGTTATCAGGGTGGGTAAATCAGCATCCATACAAAACATTCTACTGCAGTATAGTTATCAAGGTGGTTCTCCTCCGCAAACAGTCCTGGAGCCACAATTGTCACAGAAGTGGAACCAAAGACACCGTTAAACGGTAACCACGGTAACCAATCAAAGACCAACATATGACTATATTATGAGTATTTCTAATACAGAGGGAAGCAATTACAATAAAAAGTCATCAACAAAAACTTATAAATTCTTAACAACACTTTATATTTCAACTGGTTAGTGAAATAATGTAAATAATATTTTTAATAATACTTAAGTGAAATAATGTAAATAATATTTTTTATAATACTTAATTTCATTGAGTAATATGACTGTGTCAGTGGCTATTATCTTTAAATATATAACAAAACAAAAATGTACAACTTTTGTAACAGTAAATAAAAACATTCAGTACACATGGCAACAAATCTCTAACAAAAACAGAGCATGAAGAAAAACAGCAGTTGTGGTATGGATGACACAATTTCATCACTCAGTGGAGTTAGTCAGTAAACAGACATTACAAGGCAACATGCCTATCTAGCTAGTATGTTGTACTGAAGAATCTACACGGTAGCATTGTTACCATTTCCAGGTTCAGTACTTCCTACAGCTATTGATGGTACTCCACAAATGGCTGTTTGGTAAGAAATAATTATCAGAAAAAATGAAGACACCAAATTGTTTCGTTGCTGTTTCAAGCTAATAAATTCTTCGGACAATAACAATCCTGTTAATTTGGTTGGTACGATTGTATAACAGGTGGGAGAAAGGGTGGTTCTATCACACACAGAAACACTCCATCCTCCACACAGGCAACAAATTGTACAGAAGCACAATGTAATGAAACTAAGGTCTGGGGTACTAGTGTGTGTATTTCCACCAAGTACACCTATTGATGCTGTTACACTGCCTCAGACTGTTAACTCTCACTCACACATATCTCTGTAATACACTAACAGCACTTTAACACATTATCTGGACCACTGTTACTTCCACCCAATGTTATACACTACAAGTAACACATTGTTACCTACAGTAGGTTCTGTGCAAAGCCATGCTATCACCAGTATATAAAATGTATTACACTGTTGTGAACTGATACAATGTATCAGACACACCTCCCTGGATAGTGAAATGTATTACAATGTTGTGATTTTACTTCACTTGTATTACAATGTTACACATTGTTGTGATTTTATATAACTAATGCACAACACCTAGGATAGTGAAATGTACAGCTAATGCATTTTTATTTCATTGAGGTCAATTTATTGAGAAACAAGAGGCCTGATTGGCCTGTATCACTCACCTGGTATTAATCTAACACCAGTAACCATAAAAGTGGACACAGGTCCCAAATATATTGAAATGGGCTAAATCAAACTACAGGACAATATCATCACCGTGGGCCTTTGGTAAGTGATAGGAGGTTGTTTAAAGATTTCAACTCATTTGACCCCTGTGACCTTGAGAGTGTGTCAAATTCATTCATTTGACACTTTTTTAAAGCTCTTCATCCATGCATGTTATTGACCAAATGTCAACTCCCTTCACCTGTTGGCTAATAAGAAGCAAACTTGGTAGTCCTTCATCCCAGCATGCTTTTGACCAAATTTCATCACCCTTGGCCTTATGGTTGAGATTTCTTTTTTTAATATTTTTATAATACATTTAATACATGTGATCTTGAAAGTAGGTCAAGGTTATTCATTTGAACACATTTTTTGTAGCCCTTTATCCATGCATGCCTGTTGCTTATTGTTGCTTATTGAGAAGATATTTTTGGAAGATTTCGTTAAACCCCTGTGACCTTGAATAAAGGTCAATGTCATTTGTTTGACCTAACTTTGCAACCCTTCATCCCAATATGCTACTGGCCAAATATCATCCCCTTTGATTAGGATAATAAGTTGATAAAAGACAAAAGTTGATGTGGGACAGATGCCAGACGGATTGACAGAGGGACAGACAGATGATGAAGGTCACACCACGACTTAAGCTTGGATTATTGTAAGATATTTGTGAACTTATGTGATATGAATGTAAACAGGTTATGAAACACACATCTGTACTGCGATGAATTGTATACAGGGTAAGACTGTCAGTATCACATTTTGCCTGCAATGTCTATTACATTTTGCCTGCAATGTCTATTACATTGAGGTCAATGTCTATTACATTGAGGTCAATGTCTATTACATTGAGGTAACAAAACAAGTAACATGTGGTGTGTAACAGTGATACTGCACACAGAAGTAACAACATTTCAAAGTAATGACAATGTTTAATGTATTGCACATAGTCCACTTATACTAGACGTCCCCTAACACACATCTCTCTACTGATCAGTCTTACTAGGTGTAAACTACCCCCAGTTTTCCACTCCTCCAGATCTCCACTAGATGAGCTATAGATATAAACCACACATATGAGCTGCTTCAAAACATTCCTCTTAAAGCACTGTCTACTCTACACACAACTTCTGGGTAGGCTTGGTGATTTAAATTCAACATTAAGTCAATATATAGTTACATAATTAAACTAGTATGTACCTTGTTCTGTTTCCTAGAATACACATTGTTTCTGTACTTGTGAAGACTAAGGAACTCACTGCCGTCTTAATGAAGCAGTGTTAAACACTGGGCTGGTAATATATATTATACAATTATCTCCCCTGTGTACCAAATAAGGATAGGTATCTTCCTCATACATGTGAGGTAATGCCAGTTAGCTCCCCTTCATTATACCTGTATTTCACACCTGTGAGGTGTAGAGCATCCTTGATTACACATGATGTACCTGTGGGGCCTGGATACTGAATTGATAAGGTCCTGTTTGTCTATAGCATTGGGTTTAATTAATCCTAATAAAGTATGAAGGAATGGAGTTTTAGTATGATGCATCAAATGTGAATATATCTACAAAACACTGAAGACTACAGAAAACAACCTCTCGTATCACTTTGGAACACACCTTATGTATACTGGCTGTCCATGTCAGTGTAAAGGGTTGTATATGTTTCTATGCACCTCTCAACATTGATTGGTGTGATGTAAGTAAATGTTTTTTTAGACAACAGTTATATATTATAGCTTACAAAACGATGCTAAATTAAAAACTAAGAAGTAATTGGAAGGCTCAGTTGATACATTAAATAGACCTTCTAAACTGATTAATTAACATTCTGTACTTTGTTAAACTCAGATCCTTTCTCCAGCTGTATACTAGCATCATAAACATGTAGTGTATAATTATTACATTCTATAATGGTAAAATCAGATCTATGTATATATATAATATACATAACAGTAAAATCAGATCTATGTATATATATAATATACATAACAGTAAAATCAGATCTATGTATATATATAATATACATAACAGTAAAATCAGATCTATGTATATATATAATATACATAACAGTAAAATCAGATCTATGTATATATATAATATACATAACAGTAAAATCAGATCTATGTATATATATAATATACATAACAGTAAAATCAGATCTATGTATATATATAATATACATAACAGTAAAATCAGATCTATGTATATATATAATATACATAACAGTAAAATCAGATCTATGTATATATATAATATACATAACAGTAAAATCAGATCTATGTATATATATATTATATATAACAGTAAAATCAGATCTATGTATATATATAATATATAAAACCGTAAAATCAGATCTATGTATATATATAATATATATAACAGTATCTATGTATATATATAATATATATAATGGTAAAATAAGATCTTACAAGATAGATCTCACATCTATTGATCTACAAAACAGATCTTAGAAAGATACAATCAATGGACTGTTCTCTCTTCAAGTTAAAAGAAAAATTTATAGTAAAGATATAAAATAGAAACATGAGTTGTGTTTTAGTGTTGAGGCACACTGCATACTGCTATTTATAGCAATGTCAATTCCATTGTCTGACACTCAATTAATCCAAACATACTGAAACATTTTCTAGCTTCTACCCACTATCAGCTTAATCCTGGTACCCTATAATCCTAGCTCTACAGGGTAACTATCCAGGTACCCTATAATCCTAGCACTACAGGGCAACTATCCAGGTACCCTATAATCCTAGCACTACAGGGTAACTATCCAGGTACCCTATAATCCTAGCACTACAGGGCAACTATCCAGGTACCCTATAATCCTAGCGCTCTATATGGTATCTATCCAGGTTACCTATAATCCTAGCTCTATAGGGTATCTACAGGTACCCTATAATCCTAGCTCTACAGGGTAACTATCCAGGTACCCTATAATCCTAGCTCTACAGGGTAACTATCCAGGTACCCTATAATCCTAGCTCTACAAGGTAACTATCCAGGCACCCTATAATCCTGGCGCTCTATTGGGTATCTAACCAGGTACCCTATAATCCTAGCTCTATAGGTAACTTATCAAGGTTACAACCAAGCTATTGAGCACGTCCTAGGGCACACAACATCTGAGGTACACATGTTGGGGAATCACACACGCCAACATAAGCTGGATAGTCCTGGTTCCACTGTAACATGTAGAATTCGGCTTACCATCCATCACACACAGTAAGCTGTCAGACATTTTGGTACCGAGGCCGAGTTCGTGACCAGTCAGTTTCTCAGGTATAAAACTGGTCATTTGCCATTGTCGGGACTGGTCTTGCACACCTCGTTGATGTGGTCAATCTCTATTCGATACTGGTACTTGGCAATGTAGCGTACCCACTTGTCTGGGGGGTTGGGGTTCTCCACGGAGATTGAGCGGACCTGAGACTGCGACACTGTGCATGAGGGCATCGTAAACTCCACCTCGGCGTGTGACTCAAATGATTCTGGAATTTCGTCATGTGGTCCAAACTCCAGTGTCATTCTAAACAGGTGACTCTTGTATGCTCCTAAAATGATAAAACGAAATGACCATAAAACATAATATAACATCATAGGAAGTATGTGAGTTACCAGTGAAATGTACAAATTTATAATACAACTATAATCTTGTATGAAGTACTACTGTATAGCGCTTTAAATTCGCGGGGGCAATATTTCCCCGGGTTCCGTATTCAGTACATATTTGCTGGGATTAAATTTTGCTGTGCAACCGAATTCCATGTGTAGTGTATTTTGAGTGTCATCATTTAAGGGTTAAACCTTGAAATACAGGTAAACTGTTTGAACACACTGGTCCTGAGCATCGTCATCCGCCAGTGACTTCACTCGAAAGAAAATACCTTTGTAGGAGTAAACTGTAATCAATAAATCACCAACTGTACATGTGTACAAATAAATATCTTGTGGCCACTTAAATGTAAGTGATGTTTTTACATGGACTGCCCAGTTGTTGGGCGATAATCTGATTTGAGTTCATTTAAGGTTGCATACCAGCGTTGGGTATTAAGTATTTTCAACATGTTGTGATAAGGTCCGTAAAAGTGTTTAACATTTGCGATAATTTCGCTTGTGTTTTGAATTCACAGATATTAGTCAAAGCACAAATATAGCGAAAAATAACCTCCCCGCGAAATATAACCTCTATACAGTATCCTTCTGTTTGGCTCTTAGCTATGGTTCTAGATTCGCTATTACATATTTATTGACCTTGTTCCATAGAAGTGTCTATAACAACTGGATGTTGTGAGTGTCAATAGTACCCAAATAGGGCACAAAGGGAATCCAGTGTTTTTGCCTGTGTAAATAGAACAGTACCTAAATAGGTAGCTAATAGGGGAATTCCGTTTTCTTAACCAATCAGAGCTGGACATTTCTGGAATCTCCCTTTTTTCCATTTTATTATAAACTTAGTTAAACTCTCTCACACATGCTCAATATTCTAACAGAAAGGGTGGCTTCAAACTACACACATACTGTGTAGACTTACATCTGATGCCTTTGCTCCAATGTCCCATTCTCCCTTAGTGCCACCCAATCTCAGATGTACTCTGAAGGTCTCATGTGGCATGATGCACCAGCTACCTTAATTAACTAAATGTCGCCCCTTTCCCACCAACCTGAGATGTTCTCCTCTAGTTCCCACCTACCTTCATTCCTCTCTGGGAGTCTGGAGATCCGCCACACTACAGCCTTGTACAGGTGTTCATACTTAGCAACACCCACATCGGTCTCCATGAGTGTTGGAGTCAGAAGTCCCTGGGCAATCATCGTGATCCGCTCCAAGCCCTTGATCTTACCAGGTTTGCGAGTGGCTGACTTAAATGCACCATACCCAAACCGCTTTTCATAGCGAAACAGGTACACCCACTGCTCCGGTATAGGGAAGCGAATCTCAATGTCCTCACAGGGGAACTGTCCATGCTTTTTACTGAAGGAATGGTAACCAGTCACAAGTATGTCACAACGGATTTCTACTTTAGATTCTTTTAAAATTTGTTGAACTTTGAGCTGTAAAGGCAATTCTTTGTTTTCACGAAGACGAACACGATATCGCAAAAGTTCAAACTGACAAGCATCCAGAGGATGAAATTTGATATTATTTGTTTTTTCAAACTCTGGTACATCAACAGAGCAGTGAAACTGCACATCATCCAGACGAATCCACTCCTCTGTCTTTATCGGGATGATGTCATGGCGACCAACCACCTCCTTGCCCCGCCTCCGTTTGTCATTAAGCCCAAGTTCACATGTGGGCATGCCAGTGACAAAAGCAAGGAAGAAAGCCCTGACACGTGCCTTCTGTGTTATGATCCGGCCCTGTTTGTCTAATTCTGCTTTGTATTCGTCCCATACCTCTGCACAGACCTCATCCTTAATGTATGTGAGTGTCTTTTCTCGCCTAGCCTCCATGTTCATTAATGCATTCTCCACCTCACGTACAAACATTGTGATTTCCTCTTTGTCTAAACTGCCAAATTTGAGCATCTCTGACACCTGTGGTGCATGGGCAAGGATCATAGTAGCCTTTGGTTTTTTGACGAATGCTGGTGTCATCCTCTCAGCACGCAGACCCACCCTTTCTCTGTAGAAGATGTACTGGACCTTGACTGTGTAGATTTTGCCATACTGGTCATACTGTTGGAGGGACACCTCAGAAATGGAGTAGCAAGGCTGGAGAATGAGCTCTGTAAAGGACTCAGCATCATCCTTTTCCTGGTAAACCTTCAGGATAGGTCCATCACTCTGCTTCACCAACTTCACATAGATCTGCTTCCAGAACCTGTTTGTGGTGAGCTTTTTTTTGGTGGGTTGTCTAAGCATAAGGCTCCAGACATCTTGGTCTGTGCTAGGGAGGAAGGGTTCAAGGGGAGGGAGGGCTGCAAGCTCCTCTTCAGGAGTGTTGTCCTCTGTTGAGAAGCTTGGTAGACTCTCCAAGTTACTGTCCTTTTCCTGGGGAGTATCATCCCCACCCCGGATCTCAAATTCAGCAAAGTTCTCCTCTGGAGGCGAGTCTCTGTTGAAAGGGTTTTCCCTGGGTGGCTGGGGAGACCGTGGGGGTCTAGGAGGGGGTTTCAGTGCAGGAGGGGGTACTGATGACCTGAATGATCCTAAACTGTCTGGTTTTACCGGTTTAATCTGAAGCATGAAGGTATTATTCTCATCATCATCATCATCATCATCATCATCAGGCTGAACCAGCTGATCCTCACCAGATGTCGCCACTGCCGTAAAAGCATCTTTGGAAGCTCCATCGACTGGTACAGCCTGGTCTGACTGACTCTCCTCTGCCTTTTGGGCAGACATTCCAAATGGATCAAAATCATCTAGTGTAGGGGATTTGACAGTTTGAGGAGCATTGCCTTTAGCAGCATCACCAAGTAAAAAGCTGTTTATGTCAGTCAGCTCTGACTTAGGTGCTGGTACAGTGTCATCTAGGAATGGATTAGCATTTGACGTTGTGGAGACAGTAGAGAAGATAGCAGCCGAGTCATCCTGTAAGAAAGGGTTATTGCTAGTATTGGTGGCGAAGTTGTCAGCAGCTTCTCCAGGAAAATCAGTAGTGTCTGGAATTTTATCAATGGAGAAGAAATCCTCCTGGAATGGATTGACGCCTTGACTTATGTTGTCAGACGGTGCATTTCCCCAGATGTTTGAAAATGCATCCTGTGAATATTGGGACTGAGAAGCACCTTTGGTTTCAAAGAAGTTGTCATCAAACAGATCAGTGGCCACTGGAGGCTGTTCGCTGATGTCTGATGTGAGGAATGGATTGTTGGTGACTGGTACTTCACCTTGGGGCTCTTCGTTATCAGGTTGGTCACCTGGAACATCCTTGGAAGGGTCTGCAACACCAAAAGCCAGATTGTCATATACCTCTACAGGCAAAATATGGGAAAATCCCTCCTTTATCTCCCTACCAACATCCTCAGTATCATCAAATGCCTGCAGGAAGTCTGCAGAGGAATTCACCCCTGAGGGCACAACAGATGGAGGAAGTATGTTTTCACTCAGCTGTCCGAAGGCATCAAAGTGGGAGGAAGCTGCTTCATCAGACAGGTTCACACTTCCCCCGAATGCCTGACTGAAGTCAATAGGTAACGGGGCAGGAAAGTCTGTGTCTGATGATGGCACAGTGTCAGTATCACTCTGATGCAGAAAGTCTTGGGTTGTCTGTGGGAGAATCTCTGAAGAACATTGTGATAGAATATCTGTGGAAGGCTGTGGCAGAACGTCCACACTTGTTGGTGGAAGTGGTGCTTTTTCCTTTACCTTTTTGGCAGAGAATGGATCAAGCGAATCAATGATGTTAGATTTAGGTGCTGGTTTGTCAGCAGAACTATCAAATGGATTGAGATCAGCTTGTGAAACTTCCTTCATGGTGTCAAGCTGCAGAAACTCATCCACCATACTGCTTACAAATGTTGAGGAAAGTGTTCCCATGGGGATCCGCTGGTCATCCTCCCAAGGATCAAATCCCAGCGGGGTTGACCTTTGGGATGACCTTTCACTGTGGGGTACTGTTCCAAACACCATGTCCGAGCCATCAAAGCTGCTGCACATGCTGCTGCCATGCTGAGACTCACCAGTTGATGACAGGATGTTGTCAAGTCCAAGTAAATCTTGATTCATTAAATACGTTGAGTCGGCTGGTGCCTGGTCAGTGTCTGTGGGGTCACTGGTCAATCCCAAAAGGTCTGCCACCTCATTTTTACTCCCTACAGGGTCATCCGCCATCAGGTTTTCCATGCTGGTTCTAAGACTGTTGGCTGGAGGACAGGGTGTTCCCCGTGGTGAGGGGGTTGGTGTAACTTTGAGGTTTGGGAAGCTTGTCACATTCAGTTCTGAATCCTGTTCAGATGATTTTCCTTTGTCTTTATTAACACCATGTGGACTTGGAGGAATCAGGGAGGAAGTGTCATCAAAACTCGACCAGAAAGTCTCATCTATTTTTTTGTGCTTTTCGTTGTTGCTATTAGTACCATTAGAAGTCTCCGAATTATCTGATGACAATTTATTCAAACTTGTCTGAGTTTTCACAACATTTTGTTTAATTCTATCTTGCATCTGCTGAAAGGCTTGCCAGTCATCTGACTTTTTATCAACAACCACTTTTACTGAAGCCTCTTTCACATCATCAGGGAATTCGTCCTTAAATGTGTCTTTGTGTGTATCTTTAAGGGCATCTTTAGCAGCTTGTTTACTGGCTTTGGACTTAAAAGGTGACTTGAGAGGAGATTTCAGGGGTGATTTGAGAGGAGATCTAAATGGTGACTTGGCACGTTTCTTTATAAATCCAAATCCTTTATGGGATTTCTCATGTGGTTCAGATTTGTAGGCGGCGTGGTGATCAACTGTCAGTTTGCTAAAGTCTTCATTGGTTGTGGGGGAGGTTGTATCTACAAGGTTGGATGACTCATCGAAGCTGGCAGACATCGCTAGGCTGGGATCTGTAACATATAAAGGTAAGCACACATAAACAAGTATTTCTGTGTCTATCGAAAGGAATACATATTCTACCAAGTTTAGTTGCTAGTTACTAGTTCCTAAGTCCAAATAGTTGGATCTGAATCATATAAAGTTAAGGACATATTACAAACTAGTTTGTTAGTCTAAATACTTGTATCTGTATCTTACAAAGTTTAGGGTACATAACAAACTAGTTTCTGAGTGTAAATACTTGTATCTGTACCTTACAAAGTTTAGGATACATAACAAACTAGTTTCTAAGTCTAAATACTTGTATCTGTACCTTACAAAGTTTAGGATACATAACAAACTAG